ATGGAGCAAAGCCCTTAATGCTCTTAGCGTTCAGCAGGGGAAGCAGATGAAGGTGGGCTGGTGCTCCAGTGACCTCCCAGCCCTCTGTGGTCACCGTGTCTTCAGAACGGCACCATCCACCGCCCACCCCTCCGAGCTGACGGCGTATTTTGGGCATTTCTGGCAGCTTGCTTTGCCTTCCAATCAAACCAACATCAGCACAGCACAACAGGGGCGTCCCTGTTGCATTTGGGGTTCTGCAGGCACCCCCCAGTCCCACCACCCAACCCATTGCATTTGGGGTTCTGTAGGCACCCCCCAATCCCACCACCCAACCCATTGCATTTGGGGTTCTGCAGGCACCCCCCAATCCCACCACCCAACCCATTGCATTTGGGGTTCTGCAGGCACCCCCCAATCCCACCACCCAACCCATTGCTTTTGGGGTTCTGCAGGCACTCCCCAATCCCACCACCCAACCCATTGCTTTTGGGGTTCTGTAGGCACCCCCCAATCCCACCACCCAACCCATTGCATTTGGGGTTCTGTAGGCACCCCCCAATCCCACCACTCAACCCATTGCTTTTGGGGTTCTGTAGGCACTCCCCAATCCCACCACCCAACCCATTGCATTTGGGGTTCTGCAGGCACCCCCCAGTCCCACCACCCAACCCATTGCATTTGGGGTTCTGTAGGCACCCCCCAATCCCACCACCCAACCCATTGCATTTGGGGTTCTGTGGGCACTCCCCAGTCCCACCACCCAACCCATTGCTTTTGGGGTTCTGCAGGCACCCCCCAATCCCACCACCCAACCCATTGCATTTGGGGTTCTGTAGGCACCCCCCAGTCCCACCACCCAACCCATTGCATTTGGGGTTCTGCAGGCACCCCCCAACCCCACCACCCAACCCATTGCAGTGGGGTTTTGGCTCCTGACACCCCATGGGGTTCAGGCTCCTGACACACAGCAGAGCTGAGATCTGACTCACAGCAGCGTGACGCAGGAGTAACTACCAAAGCCTTAACAGAAGCAAATCAAGGACAAGATATTTCTGTACAGAATATTTCTGTAAAATCAGCTCGGCTGCAGGTTGGGTTCGATGAAAGCCTGCACTTGTCTGGAACAAGCATCACAAACAGCCGGGCAACGCAGGAACTTGCTTGGACCTTCATCTTGATGTAAGAGGAGATGCACGAGTCAAAGCAACAGCAGAACATCTGCCTGCAAGCTCTGCAGAGCTGCAAGGAACAGCAGGTGAAGGCCTGGCTGCAATCACACCCCTGCAGGACCCAATCTCTGCGCCCAGACAGCTGCAGGGAAGCAGTGAGATCAAACTCTTTGATGGGAGAGATCAAAATGGCACCAAACTCCTGGAAAAGGGTTTGATAACAGCAGGTGATTACAAGGGTTTCAGACTGCATGCGTGTAAATACAGAGTATGGAAGCAGAGCAGCTCCACGGTGCTCAGAGCAGGAGAAATCCCAGAGGGTGGAGAGGAGAGGGGAGAAGTGAGGATGCTCAGGACTTCGTTTTAAGCGGCACGAAGGGATGGAGCAGCACGAATGACGGTCGGTGAGGATGTCAACAAAGGACTCTTCTCCCATCTGCAGCGCCTTCCCTGCGTCTTTCGGTGCCTTCCGTGGCCTCTGAGGGTTTTTCGCACCGGTTGGGCATGGGCTGGGAAACCCTGAGAGGGAAACACAATACTGAGCCCATCTGAGCGCTCAGAGCTTCATCCCAGCCCGCCCTCCAACCGTAACCCCAGGAAAAGGCATCCCAAAGGTGCAAAAAGCCAAACTGAGGCAGCCCAAAGGGGGAAATCCTTTGTCAGAGGATTGCTGGATGGAATGGAGGGGGCCAAACGACAACTGGCATTGCTGAGGTGTTCGGGGAAGCCCTGGAGGGTGCTGTAGGGTGCTGTAGGGTGCTGTAGGGAGCTGTAGGACACTGTAGGGTGCTGTAGGGTGCTGTAGGGAGCTGTAGGACACTGTAGGGTGCTGTAGGGTGCTGTGGGGTGCTGTGGGGTGCTATAGGACACTGTAGGGTGCTTTAGGGTGCTGTAGGGTGCTGTAGGGTGCTGTAGGATACTGTAGGTGCTGTAGGGTGCTGTAGGGTGCTGTAGGGTGCTGTAGGATACTGTAGGTGCTGTAGGGTGCTGTGGGGTGCTGTGGGGTGCTGTAGGGTGCTGTAGGATACTGTAGGACACTGCAGGATGCTGCAGCACGCTCTCAGGTCTCTGCTGGCACACGTGCAAGGTGAAGAAGGAGACCCAAAGGCCAACAGCACTCTGAACACAACACCCACCTTCCCAGCCCGGCGTTGTCATCAGCAACGGAGCAGCAGAAAGATTTGGGCTGGTGGGGACGTGGGGAGGCCTTGGGGACGGAGCAGAGCTGAGGAGCGCCGCCCCTCCCAGGCACCAGGGCTCTGCTGAGAGGAGATGCCGGTCCTGGGAACCCCCGAGGTGCCACGGCAGCGTGACAGCATCCCTCGTGAGCATTCAGTCCCCGCTGGTGGCAGATGCTCTGGGGCTGAATCACAGCATCGCCTGGGCTGCATCCTCCCCGTCCTCTGCCTCCACCCGTGGGCCGTCGCCCCACGGCAGCCACGCGCACAGCTGGGGTGCTGCACCCGCCCTGGGGATGGGGGGGAGGTGGAGGGGTGTTCTGAGAAGCCCCTTTGCTTTGCGTGGGGCAGAACGAGCTCTAAACGCAGCCTGGAGTCGCGCAGCCTCCGGGATGGGGAGCAGGGATGACCCCCATCACCTCCACTGACAGAGGGATAAAGGAGCAGGGATGCGATGCTCCACGTCCTCCTCCAGGGCAGACATCACGAGGAGGGGGTGGGGGGGCCATCAAAGACACCCAGCGCCACATGAGACCCCTCCTCCCCAAAGGAAACTGCCTCCCTGAGCGCTGCCAATGGGGCTGGAGCCACCCACAACCCCCAAAGCCCCATCCCATAGGACCCCAAACCCCCCATTTCTCTGCCCCATCCCAACCTCCCACCGGAGCTCATATTGAATTTCTCCTGGGGGATGAACTGCTCCCCCCCCTCCCCCCCCCCCCCCAGTACCCTATGGCACCCTACAGCTTCCTATAGCACCTCTCAGCGCCCCACAGCACCCCACAGCGCCCCACAGCATCTCACAGCGCCCCACAGCATCTCACAGCGCCCCACAGCACCTCACAGCACCCCACAGCACCTCACAGCACCCAGAGCTGTTTGTGATGGCGACCAACATCCTCAAAATCCCCAAAATCCAGGGGACGGACATCACCCCAAGGGCTGCATCCAAACAGGGGATGAAGATTTGGGCTGAGCAGCTCCATGACCACCACCAGAAAAGCTGTTCCACCCACAGCCCCTTCCCACGGGGGAGATGATTCAGAGGCAGCCCTGCAGGATGGCATCAGGGTGTAGGAAAGCTCAGCACGAAAGCGTGCAGCTTTGCTCCATCCGTCCCTTAGGGCCAACCATGGCCAAAAGAGTGAATTCCTCCTCCAGGGCTGCGCTGGGTTTTGCCCTCTGATGGAGGTAACGCAGATGGGTGGCAGAGGCTGCAGGAGATGGGGTAGGAAATCGGGTTTTTTCACCCCAAAAGTGAATCGCTTGCGGGTCTTGAGGCTGAGCTCCCATGGGTGCGGATGGAGCGGGGCCGGATGGAGGTGGGATCGATGCCCCGTAGGGTCACAGCTCAACCCTCCTTCTGACCACAGCACCCCATGGATCGTCCCGCAAAGGGGCGAAACTGCCCCACGTAGCACCAGCATCCCCTCTTATCCCCCCCCCCAGCCCAGTTCTCTGCCCCTAATCCTACAATCCCCCCAGAAGCAGCAGAACAAAACTCTCCATCCATCCCAACACTTTGCTGAGATTCCCAAAGAAAAGGTCAGTTATGGCTCTGCTCCACCCCCCCCCCCCTTCTCCCCTCCTTGGGGGGGGTCACCAACCCCAAAACCACCCATGGCCCCGGTGCCCCCAACGATGGGGGGGTTGGGGGGCCCTAAAACAGCATCCGGGCCCAGGGAGGGTTGGGAGGGGGTTCAGCTGGAGGCTGAGAGGTGTGGGAGATTTGGGGCTGTGTTGGGGTGCTGGGACCTGGGACCCCTTAAACGGGACTGGGAACCCCTCAGACCTGGGATCCCTTCAGATCCAGAACCAGCCCAGATCAGGAACTGGACCGGGATCCTCGCAGACAGAAATCGGGATTGGGAGCTCCTTCAGAACGGGGCTGGGGGCCCCTCAGCCCTGAGACCCCCCCTCAGCTACAGAACCCCCTTGGATTGGGCTGAGATCCTCTCAGAATGGGACCAGAACCTCTCCGAATGGGACCGGGACCCCCTGAGACCGGGACCAGGACCCTCATCTCTTCAGGTTGGGACTGGAATTCCTTCAGATGGGCCAAGACTCTGTCAGATCGGACCAGGAACAGAATCAGAACCGGGATCAGAATGAGGATCAGATTCAGAATCAGCATCAGGTCTCAGATCAGAACCAGAACCAGAACCAAGAGCAGGATCCAAATCAGAATCAGAACCAGGACTGGGACCGGGACCAGGATCAGACCAAGGCTCAGCACCAGGACCCGGATCAGAACCAGAACCAGGACCAGGATCAGACCCAGCATCAGCACCAGCACCAGGACCATCCCTATATCAGATCCCCCCCCTCACCCTGGGACCAACCCCCCCCCCCCCCACCTTCAGCCCACGGATCGCAGTGGGGGGGGGGGTGGTGATGCTGATGGAGGCAGCCCTTCCAGCACGGTCGCGTTTACCCGTAGAGCGGGGAGGTGATTTGGGGGTGGGGGGGCTCACACACACACACACATACATCACCCCCCCCCCCCCCCCCCAACTTCCAACCCCCCCCCCGGCGGGGCCGAATGGTTTCTCCCTGCGCTCTATTTAAGCCGCGCGGTGCCGCACCGCCGCCAGTCCGCGAGCAGCGCCCGGTGCGGGTGGTGCTGAGCGCTGCGCTCCGGGTCGGTGCGGGATTTTTTTATCCCCCCCCCCGCTATGCCGCCCACCGCCCCCCCCATCGGCATCGTCCTGCTGCTCATCCTCGGAGCTGCCGAGGGGAATCTGTCCCGAGATGGTGAGTGGGGGGGGATTTAAAGGGGGGGGGGTGTTGGTGATGGAAGCTCTGTGGGGGCTCTATGGGTTGGGGAGGGAGGAAGGCTGGGAGGGGGGGGTATTGAGGGGGGGGGGGGGGGGGGGGGGGGAGGAATAACGGAACCATTCCGTTATATGGGTCAGCCCCGCAGGTGCGCTCCGCCCCACAGCCCCGCCCCACAAACAGCCCCGCCACCCGCGGGAGCGCCGGTGCTGCCCCATAGGGCCGGGGGGGGGGGTAAAGGGGGGGCTCAAGGTCACGGTGCTGCCGCACGGTGCTGTCCGTTAACCCCCCCCCCCCCCTCCTCTTTTAACCCCCCCATCTCCATCACCGCGTACCGCCCGGGGCGGGGCCGGGGCGGCGGAAGGTTCCAGACAGCCCCTCCCGGGGCGGGTGGGGCTGCGGGGGGGTGGAGGGGGGGGGCACGGCGGGGTGGACCCCCCCCCCTTCGTCCTCCCCCCCCTCCTGCCCCCCCGCCGCCTTTAGGGGTGACATCGTCTGGGGGTGATGGAGGACCCCCCCCCCACCTCCTGTGTGTGTGTTTATGGGGGGGGTGATTTTGGCATCGTCTGGGGATGGAGGGGGGGGGGAGATGATGGTGGGGGGGTGATGGTGGTGGCATCGTCTGGAAATTGGGGGGGTTGGTAGAATGATGGTGACACTGTATGGAGGGGGGTTGGGGGGAGGTGGGAATATTGATGCTCCTATGGGGTGGGGGGTGATGGCATCTTCTGGGGGGGGGGGGAGCAGAAGATGGTGACCGCCGTGGGGTGGGGGGTGGTGGAGGCGTCGTATAGGAACTGAGGGGGGGGGGGGAGTTTGTAGAATGATGGTGACACTCCTATGTGGGGGGGTGGCTGGGGGGGAGGTGGCGATATTGATGCTCCTATGGGGTGGGGGGTGATGGTGATGGCATCTTCTGGGGGAGGGGGGACACAGATGATGGTGACACCCCCCCCCCCCCCCCCCTTCCCGTGGGGTGGGGAGGGGCGATAATGGTGACATCCTCTGGAGATGGGGGGGGAGGGGGCTGATGGTGACACTTATATGGGCTGTGTTTGGAGGGGGGGGGGGGACCATATTGGCAGCCCTGAAATGATAGCAGTGACATCTGCAGATGGAGGGGGGGGGGACAAATGATGGTGTGTCGTCCCGTCCCGTCCCCCCCCCCCCCCCCCCCGCCCTGATGGGGGGTGATGGTGGCAACCTCTGGGGACAGAGGGTGGTGGTGAGACGCTCAGAGTTTGGGTGGGGGGGAGGATGGGGGCACGACGATGGCAGCTCCATTCAAAGGGCACAGTGACAGCGGTGACATCTCTGTGGCTATTGGGGGGGGAAGGGGACCTTGGATGGGGGGGGGGGGGGGGGATGGGATGATGGTGGCACCCACTGGTGGACATTTTGGGGGGGGGGGGGGGGGACAATAACACCGCTGTGGGGTGGGCAGGATGGCAATGTCACCCCTCTGCTTTTGGGGATGGGGGAGGGATGACAATGACACCCCATGGGTGGGGCAGATCTCCCCCGTTCTTAAAGATGGGGACCCCCCCCTCTCTCATTTAGGGATTGGAGGGGGGGGGATGGGATCAGTTTTGGGGGGAGGCATCAGCAGGGATGGCCGCTGTGCGCTGTGATGGAATCCGCGCATCCCAGGGGTGCCCTCACACAAAGGCTGTTGGCCCCCGTTGGCAATGAGGAGAGCGACGTCTGGGGTCACGGAGGGGGGGTTTGTTTGGTTTTTATTCCCCCCCCCCCTTTGTTTTGGAGCCAGGCTGCGCTTTGGGGGGGGGGGGGAGGGGTGTTTTTGATCCCCATGTTGGGTGCAGTCGCTGCTGCTGCGTCTTTGGGGAGGTGGGAGGGGGATGAGGGGGGGGGGGTCCATGTTGTGTCCCCACTGCTGTCCCTGGGCCGTAGGGGGTGGCTGTCACCTGCAGCATCATCATGGGGGGGTTGGGGGGGGGGGTGTCTGTGGCTCCTTTCCCATCGCATGAGACCCCAAAGCAAATTGTTGGGGCTTCATCCCGGTGTTGGGGATGATTGGGGGCTGAGGTCCCATGGGGTCCCTGGGCTGAGGGGGGGTGGCTGTCACCTGCAGCATCACCATGGAGGGGTCAAAGGGGGAGGGGGATTTGTGGCTCCGTTCCATCGCATGAGACCCCAAATGGGGCACGGCTTCATCCCGGTGTCGTGCATGGGGCGATGATTGGGGCCGAGCGGGAGCCCTGATGGAGTTAAGCCCCCATGTGGTCCCTGGGCTGCGGGGGGTGGCTGCCACCTGCAGCATCACTGCTGTGGGGGGGGGGGAGCTGGGGGGGCCAACGGCTCCGTTCTCATCCCATGAGAACCCAAACAATGATTGCGTGGAAGCATCGGAAGCCTCCCGTCGTTGGTGATGCAGGGGGGGCCGAGGGGGAGCTTCGATGGGGCTGAGCCAGAGCCTCAGCGGGGTTGAGATCCCCTGCAATCCGGAGCTTTTGGGGCTGATGACACTGCAGGATTTCTCTCCCAGCTCTCCGTTCCCCGACGCACAAATAACGACCCCCAAACCCGACCTCGCACCGCAGCCGCCGCTCCCGCATGGATCTCCCATCGGGGCTGCTCTGCACATCGCTGCCCTGCGGGCCTGGGCTGAATTCTCCCCCGCAGTCATTCCTCTCCCTGGAGCTGTGTGAGCCTTTGTTTGCACAAGGCCCGTGGGAGATGCTGTGTGCCAACGCCAGGCTTGGGGTTTTTCCACCCTGGGACGCACGGCGGCTGTTGGCGCCCCTCGGTTTGGTGGCTGCGGGTCCCGGCTCTTTTAGGGACGGATGTCAACGCTGTGCTCACCGGGATGACCCTGGAGATGGGACAGCAGGAGGGTGGAGGTGTTGGCATCCCATATGGGACCCCAGGGATGCGTGGATGGGGACGGAGCCCCGTCGCTGAGTGCTCCAGCACTCGGAGGGGTCCCTCGGTGTGGCAGCGCCGTTCCCTGGTGTGTTCACGGATGCCCCCCATCCCTTCCCAAAGTGGGAGCTGAACAACTCCTGGCACCCCGTTACGGATGGTTCCCTGAGGCTGGGAGATGAGTGGAACCCAACCACCCATAGCAGAGCATCCGAGCGGAGGGGAAAAGGCAGCGCTCAGCGGGTTTGGAGACAATGGCCCGGGATTAAAGGCTGCAGAGCTGCTCTGCTGCATTGCCAGACAGTGAGGGGATGCCGTAATCCCTCTGTTTTTGGCACTGTCCAAAGCGTGGAGTGGGGTGGGGGTGCATCTGTGTAGGGTTGGATGTCCTGGAGGGGCGACCCAGGGTGCCGTGTTTGGAGCATCTCCATCCCAAACCCCTTTGGAAGGGATGCAGGAGGAAGGAAGGGACGGCTGCCCAGGATTCCCTACTCGTGTTCTCGCCTCTCCAGGGGTGTTGGAGGGATGGGGGTGGTTACATCTGGGAGTCCCCTGGTGCTGGCACGGCCCTCTGCCAGATGGAGGAATGTGCATTAAGGCTCACGCTGCTGTTTGTTTGTGCTGGGTTTGCTTCTAACCTGGTTTTACCCCGACGCGGAGCAGCACGCAGCCATCCGGGTCCTGGCAGGAAAGCGACGACCCCAAGAGGGAGCGTTGGAGGTGGTGCTGCAGGACCTGCGGTGCTCGTAGGGCACGGTGCGATCAGGGGGGTGCAATGGGGAGAGCGGTGCCCCCTGTGTGGGCATCGGCTCCGTGGGACCCCCGTCTCCTTGCCTCCCTTTGCACCCCCACACCCAGCCCCATCTCAGGGTCTCTGCTTCAACGCTGCACCCCAGGATGGGGACGGCGAGCAGCGGCTCCCCGCTGCCTTTCCTCGCCCAGGGGGCAGCGCGTTTCTCACTGTGCTTTCGGAGCAGCGCAGTGTGGGACCCCGTGGGGGCACTGCAGCCCCACAGATCCGTCTGGCAGAGGCAGAAGCTCCGGGGGTCAGCGATGCTGCGCTGCTCGGATCCCGGCGCCGCGGCACTGCGCTCGCTGGGCAGCAGAGATCCTTAAAACAGAACTGTCAAAGCAAAGAGCTCGTTTCCTTGGCGACGGTCGGAGATGGGAGCGTTGTTTTTTAGCTCCTGCCCCTCGGGCCGAGTGGTTTTTGGCTGTTTGTTGGTAAATGGGAAGGAGAACCCCTGGGGGGAGAGGGGGGGGGGGTCACCCCTCCCCAGGTATGGGGCGGAATGGGGGTTGTGGGAGGCTGGGGGGGGCGGTGGGATCCTTCCAGTGGAGTGTTCTGAGGGGGGAAATTCAGTTGGAAATGGGGAAGAAGAGAAGGGTGCTTTGTTGGAAGCCCACGAGGTCCATTTGGGCAGAGCTTGGGGCCAGCTGTGGGGCAGGAGCTGTTAGGGCTGCTTCCAACCCAGCCTGCGGTCCGTTGTGTGCAAAAATGGGGAGGGGGCTGCTGAGGTGACCCATGGAACAGCCGTCACCGTGGGGACCACGTTGTCCCAGAGCCTACATCAAACTGTGGGGCTGTGGGGCAGGTTGGGCTGCTGACCCACAGGAAGAGCCCTGGTGCCGTGGGGTGACGATGAGAGGAGCCTCCTGCGGTCCCACAGCTCCAGCTGCTCTCCTCTTCAGCTGCTCCCGCATCGATCTGTGGATGCGTTTCAGCTTCTTAACCTTGACCTGATGTCACACGTGGCCAACAGCTCCCACCTCCCCACCGCAGCACAGGGGCCCCGCGGTGCCCACAGCACGACCCGGCTCTGCCCTGCCGCTCTCAGCGCCGCGAGCAGCCCTGCCAAACTCCGAGCTTCCACCTGTGGGGATTTGGGCTCTCCTTTGCTTTGCCCTTTCCTGGAAGCCGAGTTCTGCGCGTCTGCCTTCGGAGGAAGGATAAAAATCGCGGCGTTTGAGGTCAGGTTGGTTCAGGTCGCGCTTGAGGGCGCTGTGGCTCTGCGGGCGCTCGTGGGGACGCTGGGTTTGCTCACCTCTGCCTCCGTGCCGCCGCTGGAGCTCACCCTGCGCCGCGAGGACTCACCCGCTGCAGAGCTGGGAATCGTGCGCAGCTCCGTCTATGCGTTCCGAGCTGCCTGTCCGGGGCTGTTTGCCTCCATTCCAATGGACGTTCCGTTGAATCCGTTGCTCCGTGCGAGGCTGGGATGGGAAGGAAGCTGCCAGAGGGACATTTTGGCACCAAGAGATGCAAACTGGGATGGATCCGGTCCCCTTCGCTGCGAAGCAGAACTTGGGAGCCTTCCCAAAGCACCCGCGTGCCAGAGCCCCTGCGGCAGCCCGTGGGGACGGTCCGAAACTGCCGGCACCGCTCTGAGCCCGGAGCTCCATCTGCTTCCTCCCCTCCCGCTGCCCGCACGGCGCGGAGCCCCACGTCGGTTGCGGGCCGTCGGAGCGTCGCTGCCGGTCGAACAGCAGCGGGCGGTGCGGGACGGCGCTGAGGCCGTGCGTGGAGCAAACGGGGTCGGCGGCGGCACCGCGGAACGAGCGGGGATGGGGGCGGCCCTCAGCGAAGGCCCTGGTGCAGGAGGAAGGCTGCGAGGAGGAGGAGGAGGAGGAGCGGCGCCGAGCAGATGCGTCGAAACCAGGGCAGCTTTTCCTCCTCCCATCACAAAAGCTGGAGTGTGTGGAGCAGCCTGGAAGCCGGGCTGCGGGCATCCCAGGCTGTGGATTCGCGCTCGGCTCCAAACGACCTGAGCGGCAGATGTCGGAGCTGAGCGGTTTGGGATGGATTTTGGGGGAGCTAAGAGAGGTGGGGACGCTGCTTTTGCCGCTCGTAGCCGGGATGGCAGCGCCCTGCAGAAGTGCAGAGGTTTCATTAACGAAGCACTGATTATTATTATTATTATTATTATTATTTCCTGGAGCGTTTCTCTGGGTTTTGGTGCTCTGGGGGCGCAGCCGGGCTGCCTTCTCCCCCCCGAGGGTCCCATCCGGCTGTCGGGATGCCTTCATTGCCGCAAAACTGCGTCTCCCACCACCGCGGTCGGGCGGAGGAGGAACGTGGAGCTGAGGATCTGCTTCCCCCTCCTGGAGACGTGCGAGAGGAGCGCAGAGCGCCGTGCCGGTGATGGGCGGCGCGGGGCGAATGGGCGACGTCGCATCCGTGCGTTTTTGCCACCCCCAAAATCGGACCGGGATTTTTTTTTGGGGGGGGGGGGGAAGCTGTTGGGACCCGGCGCGGAACGCTTGCAGCTGTCGGGGTGGAGACGCGCTGCGCTGAGAGCTGCCGGATTCGGGTGCGATTTCAGCGTCCTCCTGGCGCTCGGTGTCCCCGTGCTGCGCTCCCAGGGATGGCGGAGCTGAGGGGCGGGGACGAGGCTTTGTCCCCATTGCTTTGGATCGGGAGGGGGAGAAGCTCGCGGGTCCCCGCGGCGTCGCTGTCCCTGTTCTGTCAAAGGCCCGACGGGTTGCAGCCGTGCCGGGTTTTAACGAAGCCGTGGCCGCCTGCTGCGCCGAGCTGTCGGTGCGGAGGCGATTGGGGACGTGGGGCGGCGGGGGAGCCCCCCCCCCCCGGGGCAGCCTATGGAAATCCAAAGGGGGATCCGGTGCTCAGGACAGGGGTCCCGAGGTTGGGGTGCAGGGGAGGAGCAGCGGGGCTCTGCTGTTGCTCCCCGGGGGCAAAGCGTGGCGGTGACCCCTGGTGTCGTCACGGGGATGGCGGTGACCCCGCGCCCTCGTGCTGCAGTCGATCCCCTCCCCAGGTTAATTCCTTAATGAGGCCGGCGCTGTGGCAGGTGATGGTAATTGCGTTAATTGAAAGGCTGGGTCTGTAGTCTGCTGTGTGGGCGCTGCGCCCCGTCCTCGATGGGAGTCGGAGTGCTTTGAGTTTGGATAACAGCGGCTTGGAGCGGCCTAATCCCTTAATGAACAAATTAAAACAAGCCGACTGCCATCACCCTGCCCAGAGGAGCAGCACTGCTGCTGTCCCAGGCCGTATCCCCAGGGTTGGGGCTGGAGAACCTCCTGAGGACTGCGCTCGAGTGAGCTGGAGCCAAACTGGCTGCAGATGGAGGGAGGACGAGCGGCGGCACCAATAAAGGCCCACGAGGATGGAGGTGGGAAGCAGAGGCCCTTCAGCAGCTGAAAACCCCAGCGAGTGCAGAGGAGCGGAGTTCCATCACTGTGATGTAGGAGCATCAGCAACCCAGGGACGGAGCCTTGAACCCTGGCAATGGTTTTCCATCCAGATTTGGTGTCTTTGCAGTATTGAAGTTCTCGTGTGTTCCGAAGCTGCTGTGGGATTCACGCGCTTTCCAGCCTGGAGTTCATTGCGTCGTTAAGGTTGGAAAAGACCACTAAGATCCTCCAGTCCAACCATCGGCCCCCCTCCTCTGTGCCCACTTATGGGGTCGCTGTGGTTGGAAAAGAGAAGTCATTCAGCCCAAGCACCAACCTGTGTCCAACCACAGAGCCGTCAGCTCGACACCAGCCTGGGAAGCTCGGCGCCCTCGTCCCCCTGCCCTGCTCGGCCCTTTCTGTCCCTTCCTGCGACGGCTTTGTGGAATTTACAACATCAGCAGAAGAAAACATTTCCCTCTGTCGTTCTGGGCAGAAAATGGAGAAATTCAGTCTGCTTCTGCTAAGGGGAGCTGCTCCCAGCCAGGGAGAATCGCACGGGGAAATGGGGCCGTGAAATGAGGATTGCTCACAGGGCAGCCTTGAGGTTGAGCCCTAAATACGAGTGCTGAGATGTAAGACAACGTTCCACAGAGCCCCACATCCAGCATGGGATGGAGGTTGCGTCCGACCTCCAGGCTGGGCAAGCTGACATCTCCCTTCCCCGTGGGGCAGCACGGAGCGGCGGCCGTCCCAAAATAGCCGTCCTTGGGGCAGCTGGGGTTATCTGATCCTCCTGCTGCTCCTCTCTGCCCTTGGGCTGCTTGGCGGCGATGTCTGCGCGAAGGAAACGGGGGTTGGGAGGGATGTGCGGAGCCCAGGAGCCCGTAGGATGGATACGGGGCCCAAATTTGGGGGGTGAGAGCCCGAGGCGCCCTCCCTGAGCTCTGCTCTCTTGCGTGCAGTGAGCCAACCCACGACGTCGGATGAGACGGTGGTGGCTGGTGGCACAGTGGTGCTCAAGTGCCAGGTGGAGGACCCCGATGACTCCTCGCTGCAGTGGTCCAACCCTGCCCAGCAGACCCTCTACTTTGGGGAGAAACGAGGTGTGTGCGCAGGGCGGGCAGAGGGGAGGTGGATTGGGGGCGAAGCTGGTCGTCCATCCCCACCTACGGGGAGCGCGGCGGCGTTTTCGCTCACCCCTTGTCGTCCCCTTGTCGTCCCCCAGCCCTACGAGACAACAGGATCCAGCTGGAGAGGTCCACACCCAACGAGCTGACCATCAGCATCAGCGACGTGGTGCTGTCGGATGAGGGGGAATACACCTGCTCCATCTTCACCATGCCCGTGCGGACCGCCAAGGCCCTCGTCACCGTGCTGGGTGAGCAAAGGCCCCCACCGACCTCCTCTCCGCGTCCGCCCCGTGCGCAGGATGCCCCCCACGTGGCCTTTTAGCTCTTCTATCCCACATCCCCGCCCTGTAACGCATCCTCGCCATCGAATCATTAAGGTTGGAGAAGAGCCATCGAGGCCAACCGTCAACCCGTTCCCACCCATGGAATCATTGGGGTTGGAAAAGACCCCCGGGGTCATGGAGTCCAACCTTCAACCCGTCTCGTGTTTCTTCACCTCCAGACAGCAGCACACGCAGAGCTAACGGGTCGTTGTCTTTCTCACCTCTTCCTCTCCCAGGAATCCCTCAGAAACCCCAAATCTTTGGCCACGAGCAGCCCATCGACGAGGAGAAAATCGCCCGGCTCACGTGCCGATCCTCCGGCAGCAAACCTGCAGCGCAGCTCCGGTGGAAGAAGGGCAACAAAGAGCTGAAGGGTGGGTGATGGGGGCTGGGGGCACCGTGGGGGCACCGTGGGGTACTGAGGTTTGCCCAGCGCCGGACCACCCCAGCTGCCCCATCCCACTCTCCTGCCAACGATGGGATGTGGCTGGGCGTCCTCTGCTCAGCATCGGCCCCAACCCTCTGTGGGGACGTTGTGAGCGTCACCCCCCAACACCCCCCTGTCCCCACAGCTGAGGGCACCGAGGTGGTGGAGGACTCCAATGGGAAGACCTTCACCGTCAGCAGCCGGGTGGAATTCCGGGTCACCAAGGAGGACAACGACGCCGAGGTTACCTGCACCGTGGACCACGAGTCCTTGCAGAACTCCGAGAGGTCAACCACACAGAAGCTGCAGGTCCACTGTACGTGGCGTGAAGGGACCGGAGGCCACCTGGGGAAGGGGATGGGGCCAAGGAGAGGTGGGAGAGGCGGGGGGGGACCTCGCAGTCATCGCACGTGGCCCTGTGTCCGCACCAATGTGGGTCCGATGTGGGGGATGCTGCGCGGTGTCGCCTCCCCTGCCCATCCCTGCCCCCCTGGGACCTCCCTGTCCCCATCATCCCGTGCCCCTCTTGTCTCCATCTCCCCCAGTCCCACCTCGGGGGCAGGATGGGGGATGTGGGAGCTGATCACCCGTGGACGCTCTCACACCGCACCCCCGGCGTGATGGTGGGGGGGGGATATGGGGCAGGGTTTGGGGTGCCAGCTATGGGGACGGGGCAGCTCTCTCACCCCACTGCTCCCCTTCCAGACAAACCAACAGCGAAGATCGAACCGCACCCGCAGTACCCAAGGGAAGGAGAGAAGCTGCAGCTGCAGTGTGATGGGCAAGGCAACCCCGTGTAAGGACCCCCAGCTCTCCCCACCGCCCCCTTCCCACGCATCCACACGCCCCAAATCGCTGCTTACCCCTCCCTGGGGCTGGGGGTCTCAGCTCTGAGCCCCTCTCCTCCACCCCCCGCGATGCTGTGGGGGCGACGCAGCGGTGCCTGAGCCCATCCCACCCCGCAGCCCCCAGGAGTTCCTATGGGAGAAGGAGGGCAGCGACGCCCCGCTGCAGCTGAGCTCCGACAGCATCCTCATCTTCCCCTTCCTCAACAAGAGCGACAGCGGCACCTACATCTGCACGGCCACCAGCTCCATGGGCAGCGTCATCGCCAAGTACAACCTGGACGTCAGCGGTACGGCGGTGGGGTGAGGGGGGGAGGGAGGGGGTCGTTGTGGGGGCACGGCTTCGGCCCCACGGCTTGGAGCATCCCCTGCTGCATCCAGGCGGTGCCTGCGCCGCGCCGAGCTGTTGGGGTGCAGAGCTGAGCTCCCATTGCTGCCTCCTGCTGCCCTGGCCGCGCTCTGCTCGCTGTCGCCGTGCCCCACTGCGCTGCGTCTCCCCCTGCCTCGTGGGGTAGCTCTTTTCCTGAGCTTCTAGGTCTGGATTTGGGGTCATCCTCCTTTTCTCCATCATCCTCTCATCCTCTCCTCGCTCTCCACCAGCCTTGGACTTTTCCATCTTCCAGCACCCCTCCTGCTCTGGCTTTTCCCCTTCCCTCCCCTCTTGTTTTCTTGCCCCCAACCCCCTCCTTCCCCTTTGAAACGGCTGTGGCTGACAGGAGCGCATGGCAGCGATGCGTCCCACCCCACACGATCCATCCTCAGCAGCCCCCTGCCTTTGCCCACCCCATGCCCCCATCACCCCTGGTGCAGGGTCCCACTCCTGCACCCACCCATTGCCCACCCACCATCCCCCAGGATGCCCTGCGCCCCCCACTCCGCTCCATTGCCCACCTCCCCACCCAGCGCCGCATCCAGGCATTGCTTTCTCCCATCCTCAAATCCCCAAAGCCACTGGGCTCTTGGGCACCATCACCAGAGCAGCCCTACGGCCCAGCCAGCACAGGTGGCACCCAGCGCTGGGTGACCCACGCAGGAGGGTCCCATGGGTCCCTCATGGGGCTGCTGGCAGGTAGGACACTGCAATGGTGTCCCCGATGTGACCCAGAGGCATGAAGAGAAATGGGGTGGTGGAAAGTCCACCCCTGCCAGGGTCCCAGCCTCTGGGCTCTGTCCCTGCCGGGGGCTGATGGCTGTCCCTGTGTTTTTGTCGTCCTCCCCAGATCCTTCCCAGCTCCCCACCCCACACGTTCACTCCACTCCAGCCCCTCCGCCAGGCCCTTCCCAGCCCATCTCTCATGCTTCCATGGCCACCGCTTCATCCTCCACTCCAGCTCCCATCCAAGGTACCGTACGCTCCATTTCTGTCTCTTTATGGACCCGCTGCTCCTCAGCTGGAGACGATGTCAGGAGGACGGTGGCCCCGTGCAGGGTTAGGGACGCTTTGCCACGTGCCCAGCCAGGCTCTGAGCCCTGCTTGGTGGCATGGGGACAACACGATCCTCCCTGTGCTTCCATCCCATCGCATCGCCGCTGCCGTGCGAACAGCTCTGGTGCCCCCACATCCGTCCATCTGTCCCCCCCGTGTCCATTCTCCTCGTCTTCCCCCGTTGTTTTTTCCACCTTCTCTTTGTCCGACGTCCCCTCTGAGAGTTGCCGCGGCTCCGTGCCCCCACTGCGCACCAGGGGCCGGTGGCAGCAGAGCCATCGTGCAGCGCTGGTGCTCACAGCAGGCAGAGCTTTGCCCATCTCCAGGTCACCACCACTGCTTTCCCCCCACGCTGCTTCACCCCGGCTCCATTCCTCCCCACCTTCTGCCTCCTCAGCGCCGCGCTGAGCTGGAGCCGGGGCGAACCGCAGCATCCCCTCCCCTCTCTCTGCTTTCTCCCCCTTCCATCTCCTGGGCAGACGCCAGTCCGGTGCCGTCGACTTCCAGCACTTACCACGCGGTCATCGGCGGAGTGGTGGCCGTCATCGTCTTCCTCCTGCTCAGCCTCCTCATCGTGCTGGGACATTACCTGATCAGGCACAAAGGTACGGGGATGCGGGACGAAGGGAGGCGACAGGCAGCGGAGCCCCCCCAAGGTTGGGTTCAGGGGCCGCTCTTCAGCTCCGTGCCGACCTCGAGCTGCCCAGCTCCACCTCCATCCCCCACCTCCATTCCTCCTCCTCTCCCCTCGATGCGCCCTCAGCCCCGCAGCGCCCCACCGATCCATTTCCCCCTTTCTCCTCTCCCTCCCCCTCCCATCATTTCCGCCTCCCCACCCCTTTTCCATCCCCCCCGGCAGGTGTGTGCATAAGACACGGGGAGACCATCACCGCCAGACCGCAGCAAAACCCACCCGAGGTGGTGATGTGTGAGTAAGAGCCCCCCATCCCCACCCCGCCTCCTCCTCCTGCAGGAAAACCTTCCGAGGGAACAGGGACGGAGGGTCAGGGTGGGCAGAACCACGCAGGAGGGCCGTTGCCGTTGTTGTAGAGCCGACAGCATCGGCTGCTTCGGGCAGCCCGGTCCCCAGTGGGGTTTTTCCCCCAGGCAAAACCCGTTTCTTCCATTTCAGGCTAAGGCCGAAGGATTTCTCCCAGCCACGGTGGCCCCATTGTGCCACCCATCCCGCGTCGGTGACGCTGTCCCCTGTCCCTACAGGCACCTACCTGACCCACGAGGCCAAGGGCTCCGATGACGCTCCGGATGCCGACACGGCCATCATCAACGCGGAGGGCGGCCAAGCGGGCGGCGACGACAAGAAGGAATATTTCATCTAAAGGGCGTCGGAGAGGGTGAGAAATGGAGCCAGCGAACCCCGATGGAAACGGAAACCAGACCACAAACCCCACTCAACCCAACAGATTTACTCTCGTGCCCGGCACGGGCGGACGGATGGACAGACGGACGGAGGGATGGCGGGACAGAGAGCAGAGAGCGACCGGCTGAGATGTGATGATGCTTCTTGTTGAACTTGTACAAAACGTTGTTACTACGAACAGCGAAAGCCCCGTTTGCTTGCTTGCACCTCCAACCCCGCGCCCGGCGCTCGCGCGAAACACAGACCAAGCAGTGAGTGAGCGACGTTCCTTCTTCCTTCGGACCTTTGCTTCGGTTTCGTGGCTGCTCTTTGCTTTGGGCCCTCGGTTGGGGTGTCGGGCTGGGGTCGATGTAGCTCTTTTCCTTTCGTTTCTCTTCCGTTTTGGGTTTTCGTTTTTGATGCCCGAGGATAAAATCAGCTCCGGGCTCTGCGTCGTCGGTGCTCCCACCGAGAGCTGGGACCTCCCCGTCGTCCCCGGTCCGTAGGGATGGGGTTTGCTGTGGACCCCCCCGCATCCCTGCCCTGATTTTATCCTTGCTGGTCCTCATCCGACAGCGTCTGCTGGGGAGGCGAGCTGCCCTGGTGCCGGCGGTGTGTGAAGGGGCTGAGATTCCAGGGTGGGAACTGCCGAAGCCTCCGGAGATGCTGGGAGCTGCCGGGCACCGCGGCCGCCCCCGTTCCCATCCAGTGGGAAGGGGGGAGAGGGCAGGGTTTGTGGGGGGCAAATCGAGGGGGGGAAAAAGAAAACAAAATGAACGAAAATGCCCCAGTTTGCAAATTCTCAGATTGGAGACGTCAATTCAAACCATCTATTGAGATGTTCAGTGCTGGGCCATCGCCAACACCTCCTCGGTGGCCCCCAGGAGCCTCCAGAACGGTGTGTTGGGTCCTGAGAGTGACTCGTGGTGCAGTGGAGTCGGCCCGATCCGTGCCGCACGCCAGGACCAGCAGCTCTGCACCCCAGCAGCGATGTGATCTGTGGGTTCCCTGCTCCAGCTGCTCCTCAGGGCTGCCCCTGTCCTTCCCGGCCCCTTCCCATGGTTGGTGCTGAGCTGGAAGAGGCCTCGTTGGCTCCAAGGGTGGCCCAAAAACGTTTGGGTTTTGTATCCTGGTGGCTTGGGGTCTCCAAAGAGGTCTGGTGGGCACTTGCCCAACCTCCAACCTGGGGAGAAATCACATCTCTTCCAAGCCAGGTGGGAACAAGAAGCTTTTTTCCAACCTCTCCATCGCATTGCTGGGGTCACCGTGCTCCCCTCAACCCCACATCTATAGGGCCAGCCCTCCTCAGGTGCTGGCATCGCATGGTCTGGATAGGAGGGGCCCGCAGGAGCACCCCGTTACATTTTGAGGTGCCCAGAGGAGCTGAGCCTTTGGTGCAGGAATGGAGTGGGGTGGGCAGCCCCATCTCTGAGGTAAAGGAAGAATTGGGTTCCTCCACCACAGAGCGTGGGGTGGAAGTGCTGCTCCCACCCAGACGATGAGGAGCGGAGTGGTGGATGGGGACGGGGGCCGCCATGGCTTGGTGGGAACAAGAGATGTGTCCGCAGCACACGGCTCTGTCACTCCATCAGCTGAGCGCCGGGTGCCTTGGAGGGGGATGCACAAAGCCGTCGCCACCCCCTGGTGAGGAAAAACCTGTGGGTTCCTCACTGCCATTCCTCCCCTTCCGTCTCCTTGGAGGAGGACGTTGGCCATGGGTCCCAACAGGAGGAGGGTGTTGGTCACGGGTCCCAAAGGGAGAAGGATGTTGGCTGTAGGTTCCAACGGGAGGAGGACGTTGGTCCTGGTCCCAGTAGGAGGATGTTGGTCACGGTCCTGGTAGAAGGAGGACGTTGGTCATGGACCCAAAGGGAGAAGGATGTTGGCCATGGGTCCCCATGGGAGGATGTTGGTCATGGTTCCCCATGGAAGGAGGATGCTGGCCCTGGTCCCAGCGTTGTCACCAGAGGTCACGCTGCCGACACGCTGCCGTTCACTTCACTGCACACACAGAGCACGCACAGCACGTGGGTTTCTCCGAAGGTCTTCCCCATCCACTCTCCATAGGCTCAATTCCTTCCAACGAAACGCGGCGCCGTGTTTTTAAGTACGGTTTCATCTCACCGAACGTCACCACGGTTTCGGATCGTCCTGAAGGTCCGGGAGGGATTTGGGTCCCCAGAAAAAAGGGCTGTGGGGATTTTGGGTCAGGACTCAGCCATGGAGCGGTGGGGCCGTGGTTGGACAGCCCCCACGCGAGGGGTGGCAATGGGGACACAGCTGGGGACACGGCGTCCTGCAGGAGGTGACACTGGGACTGTGCCCCTCACTGCTGGCACCCAGTGGAGCTTTGCAGTGTCACCACATCCCCGGTGTCCCCTCCCGAAGCACGAGGGCTGCATTGGCCCCATGGCCACCGCGTGCCACCAGAGCACCGGGACGGGGACGCGGGGCACTGAACTCTCAATAGACCACGAAAGCCATATTAGCGCGGAGCTCTGAGCGCCGTGGGGCGGCCGTGGGGCGGAGGACGGGCTGTGTTGTTGTGCTGTGTTCTTGTATGTACATAAAGGGAGACAACGAACGTCGGTGTTACTTTATAACCTTTCTAATATCCTGTGCTAATCTCGGAGAAATAATCCTATGAAATATATCTGGATTACACACCTTCACCCGCCTGCTCATCTCTGCCTCCGCACGTGGCCTCCAGGGGAGAGGGAAAGGGGGGGACGCAGCTCCCGCAGCCCCCAAACCCACCCAGACGCCCCCCATCCCATCCCCACATTCCCAGCCCCTAAGGACGGGGATTGCAAACCTGGCACGCATTTCACCCCGCACCAGCAGCACTTCCAAACAAAATTCCGAAGGAACTGCAGTCGTTCTGCCAAGGAATGATTGCTTCCTGCACCAGAAATTACCAGCGCCGCTGCTCGGCGCCTTTACTGGCAGCAGCCGCCCGTTTCCTTCAGCCCTGGCGGAGGGAATTGCTGAGCTGGGGAGGGAGAAAGGGAGGCAGGGAGCTGGGGCAGCCTTTATCACGGCCCTGCAGCCCTTTTGCCCCGCAAAGCAGAGCCAGAGCGGAGCTGAGCACTGTGCACACAGCGCTGCGCGTCCGTTGCTGAGCCCGGAGGCGTTGAGGAAACACCATGGGCAACTGCGTCCCGGGGGTGAGTCCTTCCCATCCTGCGGGGTTCTCCCAAATTCCACTCCTCTCTTTGGAGGTGACCCCATTTCCAGCTCTCACACCCATCGCCTTCCTCCCTTCCGCCCCAATTCCCCAGCACTGTGGGGTACCCAGCCCTGACCCCATAGGGTATCCAACCCACGGGGTCCCCAACAGTATTGGATACTCAACCCTGACCCCATGGGGTCCCCAATCCCACTGGATACCCGACCCAGACCCCAAGAGTTACCCAACCCGATGGGATCCCCAACCCCACCCCCACTGGGTACCCAACCCTGACCCCATGGGGCACCCAACCACCCCATGTCCCCCAGCCCCAGGCGGGCGCGTAGCAGGGAGTCCCAGAACTGGAAAACACCACTGAGAGCAAGAAAATGGGGTTTTCTTGACTTGGGGTGAACCCACACCCTGAGATATCAGCGCTCCCCACGCTGTCCCTCCCTGATAACAGGCGGCACGTGGCCACCGGAGGGGCCAACTCAGTGGCACCCCACGGCACACGGCACCTCCTGTGCTTCGCAGAGCCCTGACATCGTAGCAAACAGAACCTCCTTGAACCTCCTGGACCTCTTCAACTCCTCCTACAACCAAGACTACGCGGACGACCTCACAGACAGCAACGACGAGGACTTTGCGGCCGCACAGCCGTGCCACAACCATTACTGCCCCTTCTTCCACCGCGCCGCACCGCCGTACCTGATGGCCACCAGCGCCACCTCCTTCGTGGCCACGGCTGCTCTGCTGCTGGCTCTGTCCCTGCGTCCCCACTCCTGGCCCCACGGCCGCACGTTTGCTGCCCAGCTGGCCGCGTGCTGCGCGCTGTTCGCCGTCACGTCGCTGCCGACGGCTGCGGGCGTCGCTTGGGGGTGGCAGGCGGGCGAGGGGCCGTGCAGGGCTGTGCTGCTGCTGCGGCAGGGCAGCGTGTTGGCACAGGGGCTGCTGCTGGGCGCCGGGTGCTGCGGTTTGCGGGGCCGCGGTTGGTGCAGGGCGGTGGTGCCGTGGGTGGCGGCGATGGCGATGGCGGTGCCGGCGGCGCTGAGCGGTGGCGTGGCGGGGACGGGGCCGAGCACGCAGTGCTTGCATCGCAGCGCGGACGTGGATTCTGCCGCGCATCTGCTGCATCTCGCCGTGTGTTGCTGCGTCCTCCTGCTGCTGCCCGCAGCGCTGCTGACGGCTGCGGCGCTGCGGGGGATGCGGGGGGAGGTGGGGAGCGGGGTGGGGTGGCTGTTCTGGGTGCTGTGGGCTCCCCACGGGGTGGCGATGGTGGTGGAGCTCCTGCTGGAGGTGGGGGCGATGCCGACCGACTGCGGCGTCTTTGAGAGCTTTGATTTTGCATTGGGGCTGAGCGCGGCGCTGGGGGGGCTTCACTGCTGCCTCGTGCCCCTCGTGCTGCTCCTCAGTGCCTTCTGCGGTCACAAAGGGGGGGGAGAGTGCTGAGCGCCCCAAAAGGGCACCCACAGCCCCGTCCCACACCCCCACGGGTGGCCCCGGTGGCCCCGGGTCACATCGCTCCCCCTGCACCCATTGATTCCCCTGCACCCATGGGTGCCGTTGGCCTTTAAGCTCCCTGTGGGTGGCACAGTTCCCCCCGAACCCCACAAATGCTCTTGCTCAGCACCCATGGGTGCCCTTCAAACACCCCACGAGTGGCAGTGTCATCCCCCCCCCCAGCACCCATAGGTGGCATTCACCCCCCCCCCCCGACAAACTCTGACCCCACCACCACCTGGGTGGGGGTTCTGTACAATAAACGTCTCTGCAGCCCTGATGCCCACAGCCTGGTTTAATTCCCCAGGGGGGCGAGGGGGGGGCTCTCCTTTCTCAAACCAGCCCTCATCCTCACACCCCACTGCTGCCCCATGGCTGCCCCACGGAGCTCTCCATAGCTACCCCATGGCCACCCCATGGAGCTCCCCGCTGCCACCCCAAACCCCCCCCACAGGAACCCCCACCCCACGGCACTCCCCACTGCTGCCCCACGGAGTCCCCCGTGAGCACTGTGGGGCTGAGCCCCCCCTTGTTGGCTGTGGGGCACAGCGTTGGACGCCTGAGTGCTTCCTCAGGATGCCCATCCCCAGGAGCACCACGTTCCACCCCATTATCATCTCCGGTCCCGTTCCCATGGAGGGTGTGGGGTGGAAGCAGGAGGAACTGCTCCTGGGGCTCCGAATAAGGGGGGGGGGGATGCTTAATGATTAATTAGCAGGAAGGGAAGTAATTGAGCTCGGCATTTGGCCAGCGCTTGGAAATCCCCATTAGGGATGGCCCTGCGGTGACAGAGGGTCTGGGGGGGAAATAGAGGGGGTCAGGGGGCACAGAAAGCCCCAGAAGGTGCACAGACACCAGCAGGGGACACAAGGAGTCGCTCAGAGGACAGAAGGGTCGGGGTTGAGGCGATGCCTCGTGGCGGGGTGACCCCAAATCCGACCCCGCACCACGCGCCCTGGGCACGGCTCCAGGACGGCCCCGTGCTGCAGTGCTGCAGCCGTGTGACACCGTGAAATCGCAGCTCCATCGGTGCCAGCGGATGGGATTGGGGGACGGGGGCTCCCCTCCCACCCCAGCCACCCCATAAACCCGCCGAGTCCGCACCCAGCAGCGCAGCGGCACCATGGGCACCGCGCCGATGTGGATGGTTGTCCTCAGCGCCGTCACCGCTGCCATGGCCCAGGAAGGTATGGGGACACTGGGGGGCATCAGGGGGCCGGGGTGTCACTCAATGGGGACGTCACTCAATGGGGATGTCACTCAATGGGGACGTCACTCAATGGGGACGTCACTCAATGGGGATGTCACACGTTGGGACATCATTTGGTGGGGACATCATTCACTGAGGACGTGACTCCATGGGGATGTCACGCGGTGGGGATGCCACTCAGAGGGATGTGTTCTGGTGGGGGACACTGGGGATGTCACTCAGTGGGGAGTTGACACACAGGGATGTCACTCAGTGGGGAACCTGATTGGAGCCATCGCACGGTCAGGGCATCGCTCACTGGGGACGTCACTCCATGGGGACGTCCCTCACTGGGACACCTCTCCACGAGGACGTGGCTCCATGGCGACGTCCTTCCACCACTTGGAAAGGACACCATTCCATGGGGACGCCCCTCACCAGGGACACCACGTGGCAGAGCCGCCCCCCAGGGGACCGGGGGAAGGCGCAAAGCCCACCACCCCCCTTCTGTCCCCCCCCAGACCTTTACAGAAAGGTGTTGGTGTTCCGGAAGGACCCCAGCGATGCCTACGTGCTGCTGCAGGCGCGGCCGGAGCACCCCATGCTCAACTTCACCGTGTGCCTGCGCTCCTACACCGACCTCACGCGGCCCCACAGCCTCTTCTCCTACGCCACCAAAGCTCAAGACAACGAAATCCTCCTCTTCAAACCCAAACCCGGCGAGTACCGCTTCTACGTCGGGGGGAAATACGTCACCTTCCGCGTCCCCGAGAACCGCGGGGAGTGGGAACACGTCTGCGCCAGCTGGGAGTCGGGCAGCGGCATCGCCGAGTTCTGGCTGAACGGACGCCCGTGGCCCCGCAAAGGGTTGCAGAAGGGCTACGAGGTGGGCAACGAGGCCGTGGTGATGCTGGGGCAGGAGCAGGACGCCTTCGGGGGAGGCTTCGACGTCTATAATTCGTTCACGGGGGAGATGGCGGACGTCCACCTGTGGGACGCGGGGCTGCCCCCCGATAAGATGCGCTCCGCTTACCTGGCGCTGAGGCTGCCGCCGGCGCTGCTGGCCTGGGGACGCCTCCACTACGAGGCCAAGGGGGACGTGGTGGTGAAACCACGGCTGCGTGAGGCGCTGGGGGCCTGAGACCCCCAAGCTGTTCCCCTTCGCTGTCTCCATCCTCGCTGTCATCTCTGCACGGCGTCGCCCGCTCGGCTCAGCCGCGGGGATGTGATGCACGGAGAGATGGGGACACCCCCAGCCCCGGGTCGCCCCTCTCCTGCTGAGTCCCCACGGCACGCAGCGCCGGCCCTTTCCCTGCCCTGGGATCCTCGTCCTCCCCCTGCAGCAAAATAAACCATGAAAACTCCAGGTGACGATGACAAAAGGGAGCGCGCGTCGATCCTGCTGGCCATGGGAGGGGAGGGGGTGGTTTTGGGGACGCGGGGACACATGGATCGCCAGGGACGGGAGGGGGTGACGCGGATCTGGGGACGGCCGCCGGTCCCCACGCTTCCTGCCCATTGCTGACATTACGAAAGTCGCTCACCCGATGTCCCCATGGCGTCACACGGGACAATGTCCTCACTGGGGGAAGTCGAGGGAGGCAGTCAGGTGGCAGTGCCTTTCTTCTGGGAAGCGCCCTGGACTTCTGCCACTGTCACTGCGGTGGGGACATGGAGACAATGCGGTTCTACTTCCTCTTCTTCCTCGTGGGGCTCTGCAGCCTCGCTGCCCCAGACGGTAGGGATGAAGGATCCCCTGCGGAGCAGGTGGGGGGACGGACATGGGGACACGCAGGGTGGTGGCACTGAGGGGATACAACAGCAAAAGGGGACACGCGGGGACGTGGGGCTGTGAGGGGGGGGTTGGCAGGGTGATGAAACCCCCCCACCCCGGCGCCGTCCTTCCGTCCAGGTGCCGCAGCCAAACTGAGCGCCCGGATCCAAAGCTCCCCCCAAGTGCCCTCTATGTACCACAGCCTGGTGCTGAGCTGCAAGGTCACCGGGGACAGAGGGTAAGGCAGCCCCCCCACCCCACAGCGCAGCCGCCCCACGGGCAACCCCACACCTGGGTGACACCGAGCCCCACGCAGCCCCAAGGAGTTCGTGTGGAAGAAGAACGGGATCCAGGAACCGCTGCAGAGAGGCCCCAGTGACATCTTCCTCTTCCGCTCCTTAAATAAAACCCACCTGGGCATCTACACCTGCAAGGTCACCAGCCCCCGGGGCTCCGCCGTGGCCACCTACAACCTGTGGACAGACGGTAAGGAGGGAAGGAACAACCCGTCCTCCCAGCTGTGCCCTCCTTCCTTCAGTTCCTCCTCACCACAGAATCACAGAATGGCCAGGGTTGGAAGGGACCTCAAGGATGATGAATCTCCAATCCCCCCTGCCACATGCAGGGCCGCCAACCTCCACGTTAAATGTTAAACCAGGCTGCCCAGGGCCCCATCCAACCTGGCCTTGAACACCTCCAAGGACGGGGCATCACAGCCTCTCTGGGCAGCTGTTCAGCACCTCACCACCCTCTGGATAAAGAATTTCCCCCTGATGTCCGACCTCAATCTCCCCTCCCTCAACTTAAAACCATTTCCCTTTGTCCTACACGTATCAACCCTCTCAAAGAGTTGATTCCCCTCCCCTCTGTAGGCTCCCTTTAGGTACTGAAAGGCTGTAATGAGGTCACCCCACAGCCTTCTTTTCTCCAGGCTGAACAAGCCCAGCTCCCTCAGCCTGTCCTCATAGGGGAGCTGCTCCCCACCCCTTGCCAACATCACCCTGGCTCACCAGCCCTCGCGTGGCTGCACCTCGAGATGCTTGGCAGCCACCCCTACGGCTAACAGCGGCCGCTTCCACATCTGGTGGTTTCCTTCTGTGAGGGACATTCATTTTGTTCTCCTCTCTCTCCCAGACCTGAGGAACAAAGTGTTCGTCTTCCCCGAACAGTCCAACAATTCCTACGTGCTGGTGCAGGCGCAGCCGGAGCACCCCCTGCTCAACTTCACCGTGTGCCTGCGCTCCTACACCGACCTCACGCGGCCCCACAGCCTCTTCTCCTACGCCACCAAAGCTCAAGACAACGAAATCCTCCTCCTCAAATTCAAACCCACCGAGTACCGCTTCTACGTCGGGGGGAAACACGTCGCCTTCTCCATCCCCGAGAGCCACGCGGAGTCAGAATTCGTCTGCGTCACCTGGGAGTCACCCACCGGCATCGTGCGCTTCTGGCTGAACGGACGCCCGTGGCCCCGCAAAGGGTTGCAGAAGGGCTACGAGGTGGGCGACGAGGCCGTGGTGGTGCTGGGGCAGAAGCAGGACGCCTTCGGGGGAGGCTTCGACGCCCAGCAGTCCTTCGTGGGGGAGATCTCCGAGGTCTACATGTGGGACGTGGGGCTGAGCAACTCAGAGGTGAAAATGCTCGACTACACCGAACCCTACGCCACCCCCATCTTCAGCTGGGGGAACTTCCCCTATAAGATCGAGGGTGAGGTTTACCTCGTGTCCTAAGGCTCCTGGCCGCCGCTGCCACCATTTAACGCGTGCCCCCCCCCTCCGCAAGTCCCCTCTGCCTGACCTCCATCCCCCAAAGCCACATAGCAGCAAATAAAAGAAGGAATGGAATCGACAAGCAGCAGCAGGCAGCGCTGGGTGCATTTTGTGGTGCTGGGGGTGGGGGCTTTGGGTGAGGAGAACAACTTTGTGGGGTGCTCCATTGTGTTCCTCCATGGGGTCTCCCCTTGTCCCCCATCTTGAGATCCCTCCCTTGACCTCTCCATGCAGTCCCTCCTTGTCCCCCTCCATGGGGTACCCCCGTATCCCCCACTTTGGGGTCCCTCCTTGTCCCCATCTGTGGGGTTCCCCCCTGTTCTCCTCCATGGGGCCCCCACTTGTCCCCCACTTTGGGGTCCCTCCTTATCCCCATCTGCGGGGTCTCCCCTTGTTCTCCTCCATGGGGACCCCCTTATCCCCCCACTTTGGGGTCCCTCCTTGTCCCCAGTCCATGGAAACCCCCCTGTGAGGCTGGGGAGGGGACAAAGCAAGGACAAAGGAGGAGTCCCGGTCTCCCGGTACCTCCATGGGGTGCAGCCCCGCGTCCCGACACCCCCGGGGAGTGGGGTAGAAGGAAGGGGGGGGGGGGGGGGGGTTCGCCCCGGTGTAACCGCGGAGCCCAACGGCCTCCGCCTCCCGATTCCGGCGCTGCGATCGATTCCGCCGTTCCCTGCTGTCCCGCTCCGCCCCCCCGCGGCCTTCCCCGGTACGGAGGGGAGAGAAAGCCCGGGGCAGGAGGGGATTGGGGGGGGGGTTGCCAGGCCGGGCCGGGCCGGGGTCTCGGTTCGGGGTAGGCCGCAGGGCCGGAGTCTCCTTCAAGGTAGGCCGCAGGGCCGGGGTCCCGGTTCGGGGTAGGCCGCAGGGCCGGGCCTGCTGAGTGCGGCCTACGGCGGAGGCGGGCCGGGAAGGAATGGGGGGGAGCCCGGGGCGGCCGGAGGGAGGGCGGGTGGAAGCTGGGAGGGGCCGGGGGTGTCGGGGGCGGGATGGCCCAGGAGGGCTGTTGGCGCACGGGGTGTTGGGGACTGGCCTGGGGGTGGGGGGGGGTCCAGGGTTTGGGTTGGGGATGGTGGGGGGCCTAAAAGGGCCTGGGCAGGAGGCCTGGGTGGGCTGGGGGGGTCTGGGCTGGGGGGGGGAGGGTCTCAGGAAGCCTGGACTGGGGGGTCCTGAGGTTTGTGGGGAGGGGTCTTAAGGAGAGCATGGGGTGGGATGCTGGGCTCCGGTGAGGGGCACAGCCTGGGGGTCCTGACCCTGCGGTGCTGGGGGTACGGCACAGCCTTGCCTCCGGGCTGCACGGCAGCACCGTCCCACGTCCCCATCCCACAGGACCCCGCAGGCGATGGTCGAGCCCCCCAACTTCTCGTGGGTGGCAGAGGGGAGGCTGGCGGGGCTGGCCATGCCACGAGAGCCAGGCCATTACCGTTTCCTGCTGGGCCGGGGCGTGAAGCATCTGGTGTCACTGTCTGAAAGGGCCCCCCCGCATCACGGCTGCTGCCCCGCGCTGCAGCTCCACCGATTCCGTGTGCCTGACTTCACCCCGCCGACACCCGGACAGATCCAGAGCTTCCTGCAGCTGGTGGAGGAGGCCAACGGTCGCGGGGAGGTACGGACTGGGGGGTGACAATGAGGGCGGTGGCAGAGGAGGGGATGCCAGGATGGGGGGGGGTGATGTTGGGGTGGTTGGCACTGAGAGCGAGGTGTCAGCAAGAGGGAGGTGGCACTGAGATGGAGGTGGCACCAAGGTGGAGGTGATGCCAAGGATAGGGGGGTGGTATTGGAGTGACCAAGAGGAGGGTGTCAGCAAGAGGTAGGTGACACTGAGATGGAGGTGACACTGAGATGGAGGTGACACTGAGATGGAGGTGGCACTGAGATGGAGGTGACACTGAGATGGAGGTGACGCCGAGGCGGCGATGGTGGGGCGGTGCTGCCAGTGGGGGATACGTGATTCCACGGTGGGTGACACCACGAGGAGGATGTCACTGTGAGAGAGGAGACATCGAGAGGATGATGTCAGGGTGGGTGACAGCAGGATGGAGGTCGCACCTGGAGGGAGGTGACGCCGTGGGGTGGCCGTGTCACGGCGCAGGCGGTGGCTGTGCACTGCATGCTGGGACATGGCCGGACGGGCACCATGCTGGCCTGCTACCTGGTGAAGACACAGAAGATGAGCGGCAGCGACGCCATCCGGGAGATCCGCAGGCTGCGGCCGGGCTCCATCGAGACACGGGAGCAGGAGCGAGCTGTCATGGAGTTCCACCGGCGCTTCAGGTATGTGCAGCCCCCCTTGCGGGGGTCCCCGGGCCAACAGGGCCACGGCAGGCACAGCTGCAGGGCCAGGAGCCCAACTGAAACGTGGATCTGCCTCATTGTAGTGCTGGAGAGGACAGCAGGGAGGTGTGACTGTGAGCATCTCTAGGAGCAGAGCGTGCTGCATGGAGGTGAGATGTTCCCTGCGAAGCTTTGCCCAGCCTGGCGATGCCAGCGTTTGTCTTGTCGCCATTAAAGGGCTTCATGCTGCTCCTCTCCGCTTCTGTCTGGGGAACCAAAGGGCCACCAGAGGCCCCCACCTCCACCACGTCCCACCTTCGCTCCACGTTGACCCGCTGCCATCCCCAACCCCAAGCTCTTCAACCTTCATCACTGCTTGGAACCCAACAGGGGCACCCCAGAATTGGGGATCCCGTGCCACAAGGCTCTGAGACTCTGCCATCCCCAGAGCTGGTCAACAGCCAACGCAGTGACGCAACGTGGAGGGGTGACAGCAGCTCCCCAGGGCCGTCCCGGGACGTGGATGCTTAAAGGGAAGCTTAGATGGAATTTAGGCATCTCCGTTCCAAAAGTCCAATCCTGAAAATCTCTTCTCAGCTGTTCCTAACCTTGGTGGCATTTAAATCCTAAGTGCAAGAAGCGTCACCGTCTCCCTTCCTGGGTGTGTGGCACCGTGCCGGGCACGCGCTGCTCACCGGGTGCCAGCTCACCACCTGCACCCTGGGCTGGAGGGCCCTCACCTCCCCCCAAACAGCTCCACGTCTCCAAATAGGGTGGTGAAACCCCAAAATGCCATCGTGTTCCACCAGAAACGTCCCACCGTGGCGGTGGCACACAGTGGCTGGGGTCAGAGCTGGCAGGGATGGGAGGAGATGGCCGTGGGGATGGGGGCACCCCAGAGCGGTGCGGAGCAGGACTTGGTGGGGTCATCGCCTCTCCTTGGGGGCTTGGGGACGCGGTGGCACCCATGGGTGCCACCGTGGCTCTGAGGAAACCACGGCACCACGTGGGGACGTGTGGGGACATCAAGGGATTCTCGTGTGCCAGCACCCAGAACAAGACATGGGTGGCTGGGGGGGGGTGGAGGGGGGAGGATGTCCCATATGGAGGATGTGGGGACGTGGAAGGGGTCGGGGGCAGCGCAGAACGGGCCTAAGCCCGCGGAGTCACGGCGCTCACATGGGACTGGGAGATGCAGGAAAGCAGCTTAAGAGCAGAATTATTTCCTTTAACTCCTCTTACTTTAGCTCTGTCCTTAATAATCTCCCGCGCTCTGGGGGCCGGGCCAGGCCGAACTGATGGGGGGGGACAGCGGGACCCCCACCCCAAGACGGGGACTGCGATGGGGGTTTGGCCCCAGCATCCCCGCTGCGGTGGGGGTCGGCCGTGCTGTGCCACCAACCCGGCACGGACCCATCGGTGATACCACGGGCTCAGGACCGGGGGGCGTCCATCTCAGCATCAGAGCCCCCAGCCTGGCTCACAGCCCAGCTCCGGCTCAGGGTTGTGGGATGGGGACAAGGCTCTGGTGGCCGTCCCCTCTGTGGGGACACAGCAGGGGATTAAAGGGGTGACGGACGGGGTGGGAGAGGGCAACCAGAGAGCAGCAGGGTGGGGGCTGTCACGGGGGTGGCGTGGTGAGGAGCGGCACGGCTTGGAATCCTGGAGTCACCCAGTCATGGACGTCCCCAGATTTAAGGGACCCGCAGAGATCATCCAGCCCTGCATGAGGCCGCCCAAATTCAAGCCTTGTGGTTGAGTGGGTTGTCTGGCAGGTTTGGGATGCCACGACACGGCGTGCTGTGGGACAGCGTGGCACGGGATGGGGTGGGATGGCTTGGCGTGCCGTGACACCGCATGGCACCCCTGGCCCCCACTGCCCCCCACCTGATGCCCTTTATTCCCACCCCACGCCCCCTCTGTCCCACTTTATGCCCGTTATTCCTATCCTACACCCTTTATTCCCACCCCACGCCCCCTCTGTCCCACTCTACGCCCTTTATTCCCGCCCCAAATCCCCCCCGTCCCACCCTATACCCTTCATTCCTACCCCATGCCCTTCATTCCCACCTCAATCCCCCTCCCCTCCCCAGAACTACACTTCCCATCACCCCCCGCGCCCCTCTCCCTCCTCCCCTCCCTACCATTGGCCTCCAGCAAGCTTCCGTTACCCAGGCAACAACCAATCAGAAGCGCCTCGTGGGCGTGGCCTAGCCGAGGTCCTCCCACCGCCGTTGCTTTGGCGGCGGAGCGGCGCGATTCGGTTCTGCTGCGGTTCGTGCGATGAAGAACCGGCGGCCGTCCCCGGTTCGGGGCCGCGGGGAGCCCGGAAAAGCCCTGCTGAGCTCCGGCGGCGGTACCTGGTGACCTGCGGGCCGTTGGACCTGTGCTATGCGGTGGTGGCTCCGCGCGGCCTTCCTCAGCCTGCTCGCTGGGACCGACGGTACCGCATGGCCGGGCTGGGGCGGTTCGGTTCGGTTCGGTTCCGGTCGTCAATTCTCGTTCCCCTCCCGGTGCAGGCAGCGGGCGGAGCGGGGCCGTGGTGGGTCGAGTCGGGGACAGCGCTGTGTTGGGCTGCGATCTGTTGGGAACCGAACCGAACCGGCCGCCGCTTTACGTCATCGAGTGGCTCCGGGTCGGGTTCGTCCTCCCCATCTTCATCAAATTCGGCCTTTATTCACCGCGAGTGGATCCGGAGTACATCGGTGAGGGATCGGGGGGGGTGGGGGGCTCAGCCCACTTTGGGTCGTGGTTCCATTGAGGGCTCTGAAGCCCTGAGTTCAGCGCTCTGTGGGTTGTGGCTCTATTGAAGGCCTTCAACCTTCAGCCCCCTATGGGTCGTGGCCCCACTGAAGACCCCAAACCCCTGAGCTCAGCCCCCTGTGGGTCGTGGCCCCACTGAAGACCCCAAACCCCTGAGCTCAGCCCCCTATGGGTCGTGGCCCCACTGAAGACCCCAAACCCCTGAGCTCAGCCCCCTATGGGTCGTGGCCCCACTGAAGACCCCAAACCCCTGAGCTCAGCCCCCTAGGGGTTGTGGCCCCACTGAAGACCCCAAACCCCTGAGCTCAGGCCCCTATTGAGTCACAGCCCCATTGAAGACCCTGAGCTTGGCCCATTTTGGGTCATGGCCCCATTGAAGACCCTCAGCCCCCTGTGGGTCGTGGCCCCATTGAAGTCCCACAGTCACTGAGTGTTGACCCCCATCATTCTCGGTCCCCATAAAGTCACGAAGATGCTCGGCTCTGTCCCCGGTGGGTCCTTATGAGCACTGGGCTCTGTCCCCTATAATTGTGGTCCCCATGAAGGCCCCAAGCCCCCAGGCTGTGTCCCCTATGGATCGCAGTCACCATGGAGGGCCCAGAGCTCATGGTCTCCATCCTCTGTGGGTCACAGTCCCCTTCAAGGCTCTGCCCCCTATGGGTTGTGGTCCCCATGAAGACCTGGACTCTGTACCCCATGCCTCATGGTTCCCATAAAGGCTCTGAGCCCCTGGGTTCTGTCCCCAGTGGGTCGCAGTCCCCGTAAAACCCCGTCCTCCGTCCCCGATGGCTCACAGTCCTCATAAAGGTCTGACCTTTGTCCCCAGTGGGTCACAGTTCCCCCCCGTGGGTCGCAGTCCCCATAAAGGTCTGACTTCTGTCCCCCATGGCTCGCGGTCCCCATAGCCTGTCCAGAGCCCATGGCTTCCATCCCCAATGGCTCAGCCCCTGTAAAGGTCTGCCCTCTGTCCCCAATGGCTCGCAGTCCCCACAGAGGCCCCGCTGCCCCCGGTGGCCCCGAGGTTGTGCGTGGGGCAGGGATTTGGCCCTTCAGCAGCTCAGCAGCGGCGCTGCCCGGATTTGGAGCCTTGGCGTGGGAGGGCCGATCCCACAGAGTGCTGGTGGTGACAAGGAACCCCCCCCCCCCCCCATTGACACTAAGCCCCACGGTGACAACACACCTGGTGACACCGAAGCCTCGCCGTGGGGCCCCACAGCTCCGGTTACCTGCAGAGCTCAGGTTTCCCTGTGGGCAGGCAGCAGGTGGGGCTTGGTCTCGTCCTTTGGCTTCGTCCCCAATGGTCCCCACTGTGTCACCAACTGGCTGCGCCCAGGATTGACGCTGGGGGGTGAAGGTGGAGGGGGGGGACGCCGAGCTCAGCCTGGCAGCCGCTGCTCCAAACGGGTACAGCGGCTTCAGCGTCACCCCTGGAGCCCCTCGTGTCACCTGGTGTCACCCCAGCTTTCAGGGCTCAAGAGTGGGCTGCAGCCAAAGCCCTTTGGAGGGGAAATGGGGTCGTTTGCCCCCCGCCAGCTGCCGCCATCCCCCGCGGCGTCCCCTGCCTGGGGTCGCCGGTCCCCATCGTGGTCACCGCATCCCCCCACGGCGGTGGCCGCCGTCCCCCTTTGTGTCCCTTTGAATGGCGGTTGCCAGGGGCTGCCGGCGGGGAGGGCAGCGGCGGTTTTGTTGGTTTTGTTATCGGTGGGGGAGGAGGAGGAGTTGGGGCCGGCGCTGGGGGGGATTAGGGGCATCCCCTGCGCTCTGATCCGTGCCAAAGGGAGCTTTGTTTGGAGCCTGCTGTTCCCAGCACCCGGCTGTGGGGCTGCCCCACGCATCCCGGCGATGCCCTGGTTCCCATCCCTCCCACGGCCCCCATCACCTCCTGGGAAAAGCGAATTTGGGAGAGGCTGCGGGGAAGCCGAGGGCTTCACGTGGTGCCTCGCTGGGTTTGGAACTGCATTCCCCAAACTGCCCTACCCGGTCCTGCTTCCTCCCCCTCATCATCATCATCATCCTCGCCGGGCTCGTCTGGCCGGTGCAGCGCCCACGTGGGGACCTCGGGGACACCAAACTCCCCCCAGCAAAACTCGTTTAATGGGAACCACTTGATAGAATGCTGCTCTGCCACATGGGGGGGGTGGCACTTATGGGGCTGAGCAGTGGGGGGTTTGGGGGTTCTGTGGTGCTGGCTGCACCCCGGCACCGCTGAGCCAATATTGCGCCGTGCGCCTGAGCCGATTACGGCTCTGATAATAGCATGGAGGATTAGGGGGCCGTGCTCTGCTTCTGCTCCTTCTCCTCCTCCTCATCCGTGGGGACACTTTGGGGTGAGCACCCCAAAACACGGGGGTGGCTCCCATCGGTGGCTCAGTGGTGCTGGGTGCCACGGGGCGCCGCTCGGGGCTCTCCTGACCCCTCAGAGCGGCAGGGAGGAGGAGTGCGGGGGTGAGAGGGGCTTAGCAGGGCTCCCGAGGGTGAGCAGCTCTGATGGAGGGGGGGAAGGTGGCTCTGGGGGACGCACACGGCTGTCCCCAAGCAGTGCCATGTGCTCCTGCTCCTGCAGGTCGCGTGCGGATCGAGGAAGGCGCGTCGCTGCGCATCGACCTGCTGCGCGCTGAGGACCAGGGCTGGTACGAGTGCCGCGTGCTCTTCCTCGACCGACCCAGCGACGACGCCGACTTCCAAAACGGGACCTGGATCCACCTCACCGTCAATGGTAGGGATGGGCTGCAGGTCCTGCTGCTGAGCCCGGCTCTCAGTTGGGTGCTGGGATCCCGCTGTCGCCCCGTTCCCCTGTCTGGGTGCCTGTTGTGCGCCGCCCTTTGTGCCGCCCGGTTCGGAGGGCAGCGCTGCTCCCATCGCCTTGGATCCCACTCC